ACGATGAGCTTTGTAAAAATCGACGCGTTTCAGAAAGGCGGGGCATAGAGGAGAAACAATAATGTACAGTGTATGGAAAATAATGTGTTTTTTTAACCTTAAACCGCATAAACACATTTCATTACACCAAATACACCAAATAATGTTATTTTTTAGCAACGTCATATGACCCCTTTAAGTAAAAGTTTAAGTACATATATCAAATTATCATTTTATCTTATCATATTTAATCATATTCATGTAATCAAAATCATAATATTATACAATACTGTTCAGACCTTTTTTGAACGATTTTTGAAAGACGTGAACACAGTAATATTGTGGAATTATTATTACAATTTAAAAAAATGTTTTTATTTTAATAAATTTTAAAATATAATTTATTCCTGTGATGGCAAAGCTGAATTTCAGCATCATCACTCCAGTCTTCAGTGTCACATGATTCTTCAGAAATCATTCTAATATGCTGATTTGCTGCTTGCATCACCGACCTCCTGGTAATCCTGTTGCTCTGATATTGTATGGTCAAAACAGAATAGATAGTCATAGTCATTTCTTATGTAAGTTTCCAAGCACAGTGACAGACTTCAAAAGGCCACAGTGTCACAGTCTAGCTCGGGGCGTTCGGACTCTTTCTGTACCCTCTGAAATCCAACACCCACGGTCACACTTTCACAACTGAGTCTCTGGTCAGATGAAAGTCGTTTTGGACCCCCTCAGTAGTACCCCCTCCCCCAGCCGCCATAGAAGAGAAAGAGCGATACATTGTGAAACATTCGAAACCCAACTCATATTGCACTGTCTAATCCTCTTGAACACAGAGCAATTTAAGAGCATTAAAATTCCTCCTGCACTAAAGGAAAGCCACATCACAACAGCAGTCAGGGGCCACATTAACTGACCTATATATAGGTGGAGACACAAGCTGCAATTATTACAGGATTTAATCAACAGGGCATGCTACACAGACTAAGGGTTTTCTACATAAGTGTGTTCATCACCTGGTTTGGGTTTGGAGAGGCATCCTCCCATGGTGGGCCCGGAGTGAAGCCAGGTGGCCAGTTGAGAGGGAAGCCCAGGGTGGGTGTTAGCAGGGCTGGGCCGATCAGACACTCAGGGTGGGCCGCTGGACCTGGATAAGGTAGAGGCAGTGCTGCAGGGGGGATGTTTGGGCCTGTCGGGCCCACACGGCCATCTCAGAGATCAGCTACTGTACATAATACACAGCCTGAGAAAAGACAACAAATAGAAAAGACAACATATAATTGTAATTCTAATTTACAGATTCCTCTTATTCGCCACTGCTTTGCTATCATTGACCAGTGTTTTGGGGGCTGAGGTGCTGGTGCCCCCTACTTGCTTAACCAGCAGGACTTTTTTTGACCAAACATCTTTATTAGGCTAGTTTTGCTGGTGAGCAAATCCACCTTAGCAGGCAAATATCTGAATCAACATTCAAACTGCCCATTTATTTTCCCCCCCGCAAGGTCAGTGTCAATAAATATAGCTGACAAAAAAGTTTCTAGCCAAGTTTGGACCACTTTTACCAACTTTTCATTGTGGGCATTATAATTTCAGTACACAAAAGCATTGAAAATACACAGGTCCACTTTCTATTTGCTTTTTTACTATTAAATTTACTGATAAAAGTTTGAATTTCAAAAATCTATTTGGTAATTTTTTTTGCAGTAAGGTCATGTGACTCAAGTTTGCTAAAGACTGGACTAACTTGTAGTAAAATAAAATAAAAAACAATTAGTGCTGTCGAATGATTATTTGCGATTAATCGCATCCAAAATAAAAGTTATTTTTACATGATATACCGTATATGTGTACTGTGTATATTTATTATGTATATATAAATACACACATATGCATGTATATAATTAAGAAAAATATGTTATGTTTATATATTATAAATGTATATATATAATATAAATTATATACATGTAAATCCATATAAATATTTTCAAAATATATATTGTATGTGTGTGTATTTATATATACATAATAAATATACACAGTACACACACATATATTATGTAAAAAAAAAAATATATATATATTTTGGATGCAATTAATCACAAGTAATCATTTGACAGCACTAAAAATAATAAAATGTTAAAAATTTAATTAAATTAACTTTGTCTTTTTAAAGTTTAAGACAAGGATGGAGGCAGAAAACAAATTCATGTCATTTGCACAAAGCATGACTCTGATTTTAGAGTTTCATAGGTTAGGGTCCTTTTAATTAAAATGTTTTCTTTTTTCCTAGCCAAATTTGGACCAGTTTGTACATTCAAAGTTAAAATGTA